ACTACTACAAAAGCAATATTTGGTGTATATATGATGTTTGAAGTTCTAAATCCTCATGCCTCTTTGATGTACATGAAAAAAGTTCCAGCTTTTTTTTAATAAATAAGCATTTGGACAACAGAGTACAAATTCATTTTGTCTATTATCCCTAAACCCCAAAACCATACATCTTGCCCTATCCCAGAAGTGAACTAGTAAACATACTATTCAGAAACTGACAGTTGATCTTAGATGTCTTTAAGAGTAAGAAAGAAGTTTTGTAAAATACTTTATTTTAACTCTTACATATTTTATATGAATGGATAATACAACCCAAACTATCTAGTATGACAGCTAAATAGCAAAACCAATAGAAAGGTGTTTCTTGCAAGAAACAATTTTAACTACTGCAACTCTTAATAGAGAAAAGACTACTAAAGGAAGCCATGATCTAATTACTCAGCAATGAATGAGAGCCTTCTAGGTAATATTCATATACAAAGACATTTTTTTCCCTACTTGAAGTCATGGATGCTTATAAAAGCGATTCTTATTGGAATCAAAGATGGAAAACTTTAAACAAATCATGAACATTCATTTTATGGATGGTGTTTTTATTAGAGGAACTTTATCATCTAGATTTTCAGGATCTCATGTTCTAATCTAAAGACTGTGGTATGCCAATGATTTAAGTAGCTCATAAATAAATTAAGCTCAGACTCCCTTTTCTCATTCTTTGGTCCAGTCTCCCAACTCTGTATATTGCCATTAACTACAATGAAGAACTTTTACGTTGTATTATGGGTCAAATTTTATTTTGTGACTAGCATGCCCTGGAAATGTCCTTCATCTCAACTGTTAGTTTTTAGCCTTACGTATCTGTGTCGTTTAATGTTTATCTGACCCACTCAGCTGTAAGCTTTAAGGTGGCTAAGACCAAGTCTGTTTTGCCTGTCGCTGTATTTCCTTACATCTGACTTTTAGTTAAATGCGCAATGCATATTTGAAGATTAAGTGAAAGAATTATTTGAAAATGTGTAGGTGTGTATACATACATATATATAAATATGTGTGTGTATATGTGTGTGTGTGTGTATATATATATATGTGTGTGTATATATACACACATATATATAACGAAGACTAATTTTGCAAATTATTTGATGCTGTGGTTTGAATGAGAGTAATAATGTCTGCCAAAGGTTCTTATGTTAGTTAAGGGCTTCATTTTTAGGGTGGCTCTATTGGTAAATATGATGATACCTCCTTAGGTCATTGGGGG